AAATAGTAGAAAATATGTCAATATGAAAAGCTTAAGGAAGTATATAGGCTAACTTTTAGTTATAGAAATTAATAGGCCATAACTTGTCAAGTTATGGTTCATAACCAAATAAGTTATGGACAAACTTGTCAAGTTATGGTTATAGCTAGACAAGTTATGGATAAAAACTGTGATTTATGGACAATAACTTGTCAAGTTATGGTTCATAACCAGACAAGTTATGGACAAAAATAACAATTTAGCCTATTTATTAACTTATTAATTTTAATTCATCTGAAGTCTTGATCTATTTTTTTCTTTTTTCCGTTAGAAAATTAGTGGAACAAAATGTTGCTTTACATGCCATGTGGGCTTTAAAATAAAGAGAGGAGTCGAAAATTCTTTCCACATATAAAATCATAAGGGCCTGAGAATATTGCCTAGCGTAACGTTGGCAAAGAACCTTTTGTCCGATTCATATTTGGGGTCCCATTTTCTTGTTTGGTAGTAGAACTACACATTATGATTCTACTCCTACCAAAGCAATTTACAAGCTTAGCTACATCAAGTTAATAGTTAAGGGGACCATCACATTTCTTCTTGATTTGGTATCATTTTTTATTGGCATAAAGTTGGTGATTCACACTTGATTCGATCAATTAGTCACAATCACGGTCACTACACATATCGTCCAATCCATCTGCCACTTTGGAAAATACAAAAATGATTACCATATAAAATGAGTCAGAATATTGTGTTATAATTAGGTCCTCATCAAAGCTTTACCGGAAATATTTAACGTGATTTTCGTTTAGTTAGCTGATTCGAGTTTAGAATTTGAGTTGAGATGTGACTTTATATGAGAGTTTTTTACTGTCATAAAAAAAATTAGATATGACTGTTTATGAGAAATATTGTAACAAAACTCAAATTTTAAATTCGAATCAGCGAAATGAACGGAATCATGGTTTTCATTAGAAAATGCAATGAACATACAATTATTTTAATTAAATTGGAAAGTCTATCATTATTACTAGGACGGTAAATGAATAAACTACAGACAGGTTAAAGTTAATTAGGATCTAAATTATAAAAATGACTTAATTATGCTCCGTTTATTTCACCGATTTAAGTTTAGAATTCAAATTTTACTACAGTAAAAAGTTCTCAGAAATAGTCACATCTAACTTTTTTATTACAGTAAAAAACTCTCACATAAAGTCACATCTCAACTCGAATTAAAAACTCGAATCAGCGAACCAAACGAGACCTAAGAAAATTTTATTAATAAAATAAGTTCCTCAAAATTTTTATTTTGTAAAAATGATTACGAAACGATTACGAACTGTCATTTTTCACAAACTTGATTCAACTTATTTGTTAAGGGGACTATTGATATGCACATTTCTTCTTTGTTTAGTGTCATTTCTTATTTGTTTAGTACTTGATTCAATCAAGTTGCAATCGTGGTCACTACACATTTGTTATAATCGATCTGCCACTCTGGAAATACAACCTAATTACCCATTTGTGTAAAGATGTCATAGACGAGGGTAATAATGTAGTGTTATAATTAGGTCTTTATCCAAGTTTTACTAGAAATTAACATGATCTTACAAGGTTATCATTAGTGAAAGTTAAATCCAAAATTCATATATCATAAAAACAATCTTTTTTTTTCTCTCTTAATTAAGATAGAGAATTTGAATTATAGATTTAATATTGAACAAAGGATTTACTGTCAGTCTATGCATGTAACAACAATAAGTTAATTAAATAGTTAAGTGTAATTGCAACAAAAGGATTGTAGATCTTGTATTTTTTGTGTGGTTTCTTTTTTTTTTTTTTTTTTTTTTTTGCCCTTTAGGTTCCAACCACAAAACTAATCATTCTTGGAAAGAAAATTTGAAAAAGTTTATGCGTCGTGAAGGTACCTTGGATAACAAAAAAGAGGGAAAAAGTAGCAAAAAGAATGAGTAAAGTCTAAGATTCTCTCAACTTTTATAAGGAGCAGTGGTGAATATTTCCCACTTTTGAAGTTGATTATGCATATCGTTTCATCAGTAGCAATACTAATGGATCGGTGGGTTCTTTGAAATCCCCTTTGTGAAAAGCATGTTAAAACGTTCTGTTTATGTATTCAGAATTATGATTAAAAATTATTTTTGATTTACGTATATTTTTTATAAAAGAAAATACTGTAACGAGTTACGAATTATGATTTGAATAATTACACGAATCCTTATACCAAACACCAATGTACTAACATTTCACTAGTTGTAACTCACATTGGGGATTGTTTTAATTGTTTATTGTTGGCACATAATACCAAAGCATAGAGATAGAGAGTGATCAAACACTTAATCCGTTCGTTGATTCGAGTTTTTAATTCGAATTGAGACGTGACTTTATGTGAGAGCTTTTTACTGTAGCAAAACTCGAATAAGCGAAATGAACGGGACCAATTATGCCAAAAAAAAGGTATTTTCCTCTTCTCTTTCTTCATCTTTTTCTTTAAAAAAAATAAAATTGAGACAGGGATTTGAACTATATACCTTATAGTTAAATCAGGTGTGTATTTACTATTAGATAAGTCCCAAAATAAAATGTGTTTGGAAGAATGGATTTTGTGAGAATTTATTGGCAGATAATGTTTGATGAAGTTAGTTTAGATCCATATTGAGGTTTCTATAGCATATAATGTGATTATATTCTCTTGCTTATTAAAAGATAGAAAATGAAGAAAAGAAAGCAAATGAATGCCTTTCTTTGTTCTTTTTGGACACTCATTGCCTGAAAAAGAGTGCATTATTGTATTGTTTAGAAGCACAAGAACCCACCCCGCACTTAAGAGGACTACGTTGTGATCTTCTTTGCCTACTTGTTATCTCCAAAACAGCCTGGAAAGTTCCCTTTTGTGGTCGGCGATTTGCTGTGGAATAAATCCAATTCTGTGCTTATTTCTTACAATTTTTGAAGCCATTCGTTGAATCTACATTGGACTGAAAAAAAACAAAATAAAACAAAATAAAAAACGTGAGGATGTAGAATACAAAACAATAGATGGTCAACATTCGGCGGTTAATCCAAAATAATTGATGAAGTATCAGAGAGGATTAAAACCCTTTTTATATTAACGAAAGGTCATCTTTTATATCCATAAAACTCAAGGTACATTACATATTCATAACTAATTTCCAAGTTACTTGTATTAGAGAGTTTTGATTTGAAATGACATTTAAAACTCGCAACACTCTCTATATACAGCCAAATCAGAGCTGAAATCCTACTTCTATGAACAAGTGGTATGTGTAATTTTCAAATAAGAGTGAAAGAAATGTTAAGAAATAAGGAGAAAAACGGATGATCATCATATAACTAATCATAAAACTTACATTTTAACTTTAAAACTCAACAATCATGACATATATGACATATGATCAACCGTATTTTATGAAAACAAGCTCAAAGACACTATTGATATGAAACATCACAACAAATAAAAATAATTTGAACACTATTGTTATCCTTTAGCATTACTATATATCATATGTTGTTCTTTAACCTTTTTTTTTTGGCTCAACGAAAAAGTGATTAGTGGTCTCCTCACACACCCGATTTAGTGGTCTCTTAATAATTTACTGGGATCACAGGTGAAACAGAAAGAAACCTGACTCATACTTTCTCAGTTAGCATTAAAGGAGTTTAAAATCACATCAATTCAAATCATATTTAGCAAGTTGACGATGGACGTAATTAATACCTCATAGCCGAAAATAAAAATCAATCCCTGAACGAAACGAGAGAGTCTTAATAGATTATCCTTCGTCGCTATACCATCACCATCGGTAGCTCGGTCTTTAAATTATTAAAAGAACAAATAATGAATCAATTCCTGAATAAAAAAGAGAGAAAACTAATATTTTTAGAGACTTTTTCTAATAAGTCGGCATACTGAAAGAGTCAATTTCTGACCGTTAAATTTGATTAAAATCACATTTAATTAAAAAAATACACATAATAAATATTTTTTAATACGAATTAAACGAATAAAAAATAAAAATCTACTGAAATTTTATTTTTTTTCCTATCCTAGTAAAAATCTCCTATTTTCAGAGGAAAAAAAGAGTCAAAGAAGCCTCCTATCCTTAATGAGCTTGCAGTACTAGAGTCGTTTGAGTGAGCAAGGCCAGGCTGCACTGCACATTTGAAAGCAGCCAACATCCATATGGTGAGTTTGCGTCTTCATTACGTCTATGTTTCCTTTGCCACGTCACCATTCCACGTTCCCATTTTTACCCTTCCACGTGTGAACAATCCCTTCACGAGTCAAGCCCCTCACTTATGACTACATTTGCAAATGCAATCAAACCAAAGTAATCAAAAACCCCTTCTTACTTTCTCAGAGTTGAATTAATTTAGGTGTCATTAATTTTACCGATTTAAATTTTATCATAATAAAAAATTCATAAAAATAATCATATTTAATTTTTTTATTATAATAAAAAATTCTCATATAAAATTATATTTTAACTCAAATTAAAAATTTAAATCAACGAGATCTTTACAAACTTACAAAAGTAAAAGGAGAAAAAAAAAAGAACACTTTCACCGTTTTTCCTTTTTCTTCTTCTTTTTTCCTTCGTAAATCGCTCGCCACTCAACACGTCACTAGAGTTACACTCTCTAATTCCTAAATTACCCCTTGAATTCACTTCAAATGACAAAATTTAACCTCCAAAGTAAAACGCGTCGGTGTTAAGAAAGAAAGAAAAAAAAAAAAAAAAAAAAAAAAAAAAAAAAAAAGAGAGAGAGAGAAAAGATTTTTTATACTTTCAGCTCCACTCCACTCCCCTCCCTTTAATACAATTTTTTTGTAACCCATAATTTAATCCTTTCTTCGATTCTCATAAATAAAAAGAGATAAAAACTTGATCTTCTCCTTCCTCCACTTCTCCTTCTCTCTCTAAAAAGTAGCTCAAAAAAGCTTGTACATAATATAATATATATATACACCCACATACCCATTGCTCATTCTCCTTCAACCTCTTCTTTTTCTCCTCTTGAACACCAAAAAAAAAAAAAAAAAGATGGTTCCATTTCTTCTTCATCTTCATTGATCTAGCAATTGTCAAGTACTAAAGATCTCTCTCTCTCTATCTCTAAAAAGAAGCTGAATTTGCCTTTTCCAAATCTCCTTCCTCACCATGGAAATTACCAGACTCAAAGTCCCATTCTCATTTCTTCTCCCTATACTCCTCCTCCTCCAAACAACCAAGCAAACGACAACCACCGCCCCAAAAACGACATCAAACTACCAGATCGCCTGCACAATGTGCTCCGCCTGCGACAACCCCTGCGGCGGCGCCGTCCCCTCTCCGCCGCCTCCCTCCCCTCCACCGCCGTCCTCCTCCTCCTCCATCTGCCCTCCACCGCCGTCCTCCATCTCCTACTCCTCCCCTCCTCCGCCCTCACAATCCTCCTACCCCTACTACTCTCCCCCACCACCCTCCTCCTCCGGCGGAGGCGGCGGCGGCGGAGTTTACTACAACCCGCCGGTGCCGTACAACAAGAACTATCCAGCTCCGCCACCGCCGAATCCGATTGTTCCCTACTTCCCCTTCTACTACCACAGCCCTCCTCCGCCCTCCAATTCCCCCTCCTCCTCCTCACCAAGAACGTTGATTTTTTCTATTGTCGTTTCCATTTTCGTGTTTTTTCTTTGAACGAAAGTTTACGGAGGAAAAAGAAAAGTTTTTTTTTTTTTTTTTTAGAAGAGAAGAAAAAAGTAGAGGAATAATAAAGGTGGCAGATTTGCAGATCTAGAGCTAGGAATGTGCAGATGATGAAGAAGAGGAGTAAGAAAGAGTACAGTGTTTTTGGGTTTTCGGAAATGCCCCTCAATGGAATTCTGTGCCCAGAAATGCTGGAAGGTTTTGCTTTCTACCACAAATTCAAGGCAAAAAAAAATGTACTTTCTTTTCTCTTTCTGTTTGATCTCTTCTTCTAGTTTAGGTTGATCTGTGATTTGTTGGTTGACAATTTGTATCTAGTTTTGTTTATCAAATATATTGTTATTATTATTATTATTATTATTATTATTATTATTATTATTATTATTATTATTATTATTATTATTGTCATTAAGACAATAAAGAGAAGTTATTAGTCATTTTTGCTCAATTATATAGACTATTTAAGGGGGTTTTTTTTTTTTCGGGACTTCCTTAGTTCTTAGTCAAAAGTAACTGAACAAATGAGGTGGGATTTTATTTATTTATTTATTTTGAATTTAGAGGTGAGAATTTGGTCACTAAGTTAAACCTACATAGACAATGGAGATTGAACTTTGAACCTATATTATTTATTTATATATTTATTTTGTTACTGTAGCTTCTTAATTGTTAGGCATCAAAACGACAATAAAAGAAACGCTTATGAATTAAAATCATAATATTATAATTATTTTTTATTTACGTATATTTTTTATAAAAAAAAATACTGTAATAAATTATAAATGTGAGTCAGCTAGGTCTTTAGTGGCACTTATAATTGATGGGTCACCCTCTCCCTTCAAAAGAAAGGGTGCAAAACCCTCGTGGCCCCTCTAATCGATGCATTTTCAGTTTCTTTTTAGCCAAAAAAAAAAAAGAATAAAAAAAGATCCCGATAGATCCTTCACTATCCTTTTGCCTTTTCCTCTCTTTTTTTTTTTTCAATATAATAGGATGTAAAAAATTACCTTATCGGTACAATACAGTTTTATTATACAAAAGTATAAAATTAACATATATTTTCAAACAAAAAATATAAAACTAATTTAGCAAGTATCTTAAGAAAAAAAAAATTCTTTCTCTAATAAAAATATTTACATTTTTATATTTCTCTTTTTTTTTTTTTTCTGAATATATTTCCTGCTCTGGTTGGTGAAGACCAACAGTGTAACACTATCAACAACGAACGTGTCCCCATTCCTAACTCAATCACATTATTGATTATTGTCAACTTTCTAACTTTTTAGAGATGCTTTTCATTTCAATTCAACTGTGGGACATCACAAATACAAAAACACCATTTGCTTTTGGTATTAACTAGAGATAGAGATTTGGATGACAAGATCCTTCATTTTTATAGTTTTGTTTTTATTCTGACACATATTGTTCTGATGGATTCTAGTTTACTAATCAACTACATATGTGGCAGTGATAGTGCCACTGCAAGCAAATAAAGACCTCGTTCACTTTATGAATTTGAGTTTTTAATTTGAATTGAAACGTGATATTTTCTGAGAATTTTTTACTGTAACAAAAAAAATTAAATGTGATATTTTTTAAGAATTTTTTACTGTACAAACCTAAAACTAAAAACTCAAATCGGTGAAATGAACGAGACAAAAATAGCCCATGTGAATTACATTTTTCTCTTTGGAATGGAAAAAAAAAAAAAAAAAGTGGTTATTGTCTTGTTCGTTTTGATAGTTGGAATTATAATTCAAATTTTTTTTACATAAAAGTTTAAATTTTAACTTTTTTATTATAATATTTTTTCTTATATTTAAAAACTTATCTTGAACGAGTGAAAACGAGCACTATGTTTTTTTTGTAGGGGTTTCATGAATGTCGCTGTGTAGTATGTACCGCAAAATCCAATTGTTTTGTTGCCCCTTTTCACGATAACAATGCCATGTGGGGAAAAAGTTTGGGCGTCCTCATTCCTAACAAGAAGAAGAAAAGAGGGAGAAAAAGATGATGCTTTTAGGACTTTTCCCTTTCCCTTCTTTGGCCAAAGCAAAGACATTTATGATGATCAAGTGATAATATAATTGTGAAAAGATTGATCACCGGCCAGTTTGGTCGAAAGTTTAAACTATTTATCGTTTTTATTTTTGAGGTTTTTATGGTAAGGTTTGAAAAATTAAACTACCAAAGTTTATGTTTCTCAGCCGTCATATTTATATTATAGTCCATGTTTTTTATGTTGACAAGGATGCTTTTATTTTATTTTTGGTTTATAATAAAAAGATAATGAGGAATAATAGGCACGTGGCATAGAAAGTGTAAGGTAGTAAAGAAATGAGGAAAAAAGGGTGAGGAGTTTTTTAATAGGATTATAAAAAATAAATTATCAATAATTATTAGTTTTTAACTGTTAAATTTATATAAAAAATTATTTATTTTACATATTTTTTAATTAAATGCGTTAAAAATTTATGATTCGTTTAGTTTGATGATTTAAATTGAGATATAATTTTATGTAAAAATTTTTCACTTTAATAAAAAAATTTAATGTGATTATTTTTAAGAATATTTTATTATAATAAAATTTAAAATCGATTAAATGAATAGGATATAATCTTACCAGTAAATCTGCTAACGAAAAGGTCCAAAAAAACAAATAGAAGGAAAGAGATTATTTATAGGGGTAATGGTATGTATGGAGTAAGAGGATAGGCCATAAGTAGGGCACAGGTGGCCAGACAGACAAGGTGGCTGGCTAGATCAATTAGCTGGAAGGCACGTACTCTGATGTGGGTTGGACTTGGAATGGTCCAGTGTCAACCTTGGGTGAAGGGAAATTCTGTTATCTCTTCATATACGATTCATGAATTAGAATCACGTGATTAAAATTATTTTTAATTTATATATATTTTTTATGAGAGAAAATATTATAACAAATTATGAATCATAATTCAAATCATGGGAATCATGGTTTGAATCCTTCAACCAAACATCCTCATTATTTAAGGCATTTATTTTATTAATTTAAATTTAAATTTTAAAATTTATTATAATAAAAAATTCTCAAAAATAGTTATATTTAATTTTTTTGTTATAATAAAAAGTTCTCATATAAAGTCACATATCAACTCGAATTAAAAACTTGAATCAATGAACTAAACGGACCTTAACTCTATTTTTCTTTTATTTTTTCCTCAAAACTCTCCGTGGACTCTATTTAAAGCTTGAATTAGGTTTTTTTTTTGTCATTACATAGAAAAATAGGAAATTTTAATGGCACTGTTTTATCACTTCGTTGTTAAATTTCATTATATTGTCTTATATTTTCTAGGCTAATATGATTATTTATTTTAATTGTTAACGCACGTTAAATTTTAGACGAAATTATAATAACTTTTTTAATGTAATTTTAGGCCCTTGAACTTTTCGTAGTTTAGTGACTAAAAATTTATTTATTTTTTGGTTAGTCCTTGATAAGTTAAAGAATTTTCTAAACTGTCAAGGGTTGATTTTAGAAGGTTTAAAGATCAAGTTGTCAAGGAAAAGAGTTCGAAAGTGACTGCTAAACAATCTTTGATTAAGAGCGCAAATGCTAAAACTCAAAAAAAAAAAAAAAAATTAAAAGATTTATGGCAAAAGAATAAATTTTGTGCAACTTCAAATATCAGATTGTAAATTTATAGCAAATTCAATCAGATTGCAAAACAAAATGTATTATAATGAAACTATTATTAAAAGTTCAATAATGTAGAGATAAACACCGCTAATCCTACATAATTTTCTAATTAACTTAGAAGAATGAAGGTTCATGTATTCAAATAATCTCATATGAAAAACTTGGGTCTAGATCTTAGAGTTGAAACTTCATCCCTGGCTAATTGAAAAAAAAAAAAAAAAAAAAACAAAAAACAAACAAATTGTAGCTAAAGTATGAGTTACAATACATGGGACGGGGTAGGATTTGGGTTCAATCCCACATTAATTTGTATAAGAAAAATAATGTACGAGTCACAATTTAAAAGAGTCAAAACAGATATAATTTACTTAAATATAGTTTATTAATTCGGCCAAGTTTATGGTTGGCAAGCAAGAGTCAATTTACGACACTTTTTTAATCAATGAATTGAATGTTTCTTTATATATTTTATTCTTTTGACTGAATTGAAATGTTTTTACTTGTTCCATTGGCATACTAGACATGAAGGATGGCGTATTAAAACAGGAAAATTAGCTCAACATAATTTACAAGAAACCTATGTAATAAATTATCAGCTTCTCTATGTATATAATATATTATAAATATCTAGAACAAGGACTATGCAATAAATGTTTTATGTCATTTTTTCCCGTCAAGTTGATGCCTCTTTGAAGGGCACCAAATATTTTCATCTACCACATGTATTGCTCTTATGATCTACCAAAACATGTTAGAGGAAAAAGATATGGGGCTTGTATTTTTCTGGTTCGGCCTTTCAAATAAGTCCAAACACTAAGCCTGAAAATTGAAAATGGCATAGTGTACTTGGGCCAATGATGTTAATCTCATAACTCAAAACCTAACCCAACTACAATTTGTACAGTTTTGGATACATATATTGTGGCCTCTGAGTTTGAGCATTGTTTTATATAATATATTCAATGCTATATCTATGTAGAGGAATTATTCAGTACACTGGGTGTACCACGTCATATTATTTATTTAGCACACCCGGTTAATGAGATTGTATCATTTGGTACAATCATCCAATAAGCCCTCCACTTCTATTTTTCTCTTTCTTAATAGGTATATGCAAAAAATAAGTGAAAAGTTTATTGGATGATTGTACCAAATGATACAATATCATTGACCGAATGTACCATATAAATAATATGACGTGATACACCCGGTGTACTGAATAATTTCTCTATCTATGTATGGGGTAGTACCTCCAACAACCTCTTAAGCTTTATCTTTGAGTTAAGAATTGAGACCCAAATATTGGTGATCCATAAGGCTTTCATATTAAGTCCATGTGGAGTGAACCTTTAAAAACTTTCTTGGAAAAAAGAGCATCAATAGCAAGTTTTTCTGTAGTTGGGGTTGGTAATAGAATCCTACTTTCATAATCCGCATATATAACAAGAAAAAAATAAATAAAAATCCGAAAAATTATAAACGGGTATGAGGATTATCCTATTGTTATTGTGCAGGTCCAAAACAAATACAGACTCGTTCACTTCGCTGATTCGAGTTTGTAATTCGAGTTAATATGTGATTTTGTGTGAGAGCTTTTTACTGTAGCAAAAAAGTTAGATGTGACTATTTCTGAGAGCTTTTTACTGTAGTAAAACTCAAATTTTAAACTCAAATCGGCGAAATGAACGAGGTCATTATAGGTTGCTTATTTAATTTTCTTTTTTTCTAATTTTAATTTGTGCTAACCCATTTATTTCATGGGCTTTAAACTGCAGTCGCGTGGTTTTATTATAATAGTTCTTCCCATAAAAACTTAAATCTTTATTCAAATCTATGAACAAAAACCGTTTTGTTCGTACACATGGGATTTCTATAAGAGAAAAAATAATGAGGTAATGATAAGGGTACCATGGCAAAAAGAAGGTAATCATAGAGCCGGTCAGAATTTGAGATTTAACAAATCTTTATAGGATTCATTCCCCTGATTCAAATCATAGTTCATAATTCACTACAGTATTTTTTTTCATTAAAAATAATTATAATATTATGGTTCTAATTCATGAACCAAACGGGCTGTGCTAGACATGTCAGATGTGAATCTTTAGATAAACAAGCAATAGAAATAGAATATATATATATATATATATAGAGAGTTATATCTTTTTTACATTTAGATATGCATAAAATTATTAACGGAACAGGACATCTCATAATATGTACTGTACCTGATGAGATTATTGATCACAATTGTACAATTTAAATTAAGGCCTCGTTCACTTTACGGATTCGAGTTTTCAATTCGAGCTGAGATGTGATATTTTCTGAGAGTTTTTTACTGTAGCAGAAAAAATTAAATGTGATATTTTTTGAAACTTTTTACTGTAAAAACCTAAAATTGAAAACTCAAATCGGTGAAATAAACGAGACGTAAGTAATGTGTATAACATGAAAGTGAATATTATGAGAACTTTCCTTAATGAACATCGTTACACCTATTTCTTAAACGCTATCGGATTTAAATCATACGGTTCCAATAAAAAAACACATGGACGACTTGCTCCACTGCGGAGTTCTATGATTATAAAACTTCAACCAATGGCATAGTGCTTCTTCTTTGGCTCCAAAGCCCATTTCATAATAGCAAAAGTATAGATTGTGCCGTGGCTAGAGCTTCTCAGTAAAAAAAGAAATTATGAAGCTTAATAGTAAAACAGGAAGAAGCAGACGGACAAGGAACTTAATGGCAATTACCTCTTGAGTACGGAAATAAAGAGGATTTGATTACATATACTTCGTAAAGCTCAATGATGCCAATAATTATTCATAGTACCATAAACCAGAATGAGTAGATTTCCTCTTTCTTTTTTTTTTTTCTCTCTTTTGTTGAACCATTATTAGTATCAGTAGATTAATTTCCAGAGATGGAAATACCAGTCTTTATGTTTCCTTAAAATTGGCTAATAATGTAGTTTGAAATTTTGGTTTTTCATGGTCTACCATACGTCATCAATGATCAATTGTTGTGGAATACTAGTATTTTGTACCTCCACTGGCTAATGAATCTACCACTCTCCACATTGGTTATTTCTATTTCCTCTTCTGCATAGATTTTCCATGATACCAAGATTTGGATTTTGTGTTTACTTTCACAAAGAGGCTTCTTTTGGTTACCAAATCCACATTAGTGTCTTTCAACAACTTTTTTAACCCCCCCCTCTGCCATTTTTCCGTTAGAAAAACCGTACTTAGAAAGTACTTTAATTTTTTTTTCTCTCCCAAAACCAAATCTCGGAAAGCTATAAAAGGATTTGGAACCACAAGTACACACGGCCTCGTTCATTTCACCGATTTAAATTTTTAGTTTTAAATTTTTACAATTAAAAGTTTTCAGAAAGTGTCATATCTAATTTTTTTTACTACGGTTAAAAATTTTAAAAAAATGTCACATTTCAATTCAAATTAAAAATTTAAATTTGTGAAGCAAACAAGGCCTTAGTGGCTCCAACAATAAAATAATGTTTTTTTTAAAAATAGAACCTCACTCTTGCAAAATCCATCTAAATTCAAGTAACTTCACAATAATTTACCAAAAAAATAACAAAAGACTTGTTCGTTGGGCAAGTGTTCATCATTTATCCAAAGACACAAAAAAGAGCGGGAAAAGATTTCACGTTCCCTCTTTTTTTTTTTTTCTCATCTTTATAGTGTCCAAAATTTCTTCCCTCTCATAATTTTCTTTTTTCTTTTTCTTTTTCCCTCCCACTCATACATTTGTTGGCGCGCTTTCAATGTCCTTCTCTGTCTTTATTGTTTTTTTTTAGCCAAAAAAAAAAAACCCTTTATCACAATTCAATTCCTCTCTTATCTTTATTACAATTTCTTTTTCCCTCAATTTTCCTTTTTAGTGTCTTTTCTTATAGTGTTTCCTTTTGGAGTTGGAAAAGGGCTCAACGGTAGGGCAAATTTATTTCTGTTTGGGCGATAAATGGCAGTCACGAGAAGAAAATGCAAAGCACAAATATACCAAGGACAACAAGAAATAGATAGAAAGAGATATCATTGGTACCAATATTATGTCAGCAAAACTTATAATTAGAATTAATCTTCAATAAATTCTTACACTTGATCTGAGTACTCTCCTTATCCCAAAAACAGTCAGTCAAAAAACTAATAAAAAAAGGAACAACAAACAAGCTATAGCAATTAAAACTAGGAAAGAAAAAAAAAATTTCTTCACCCATTATAGGGACAGGCACATAAGGAAGAAGATAAATTTTTAGAGAGAGAAAGAGAGAGGTTAGACTTGAGACAAATCTCTAAACAAAAAACTCTAAAAATCCCAAATTCTTATTATTAATAATTATATTTTCTCTCCTAAGCATAAACGGAGCCATAAGAGAGAGACATCAAAAGCACAGCCGCTTGTTCTTCTTCACCCAACTTCTTTCGTTGTCTCTCCACCGTTGATCTCTGCATCAAAACTTCTCTTCCCAAAGCCATCATTAATTTCTGCTTCAGCCCATCACCTAATTTCCCATTATTATTATTTCCATTTTTTTTGTTGGATTTTCGCTCTTCGGAGCTTCCTTTGTTCAAACCCAGAATCGCTCTTCTCTTCTTCCGGCTTCTGATCCCACATGCATTACATAAAGACTGCAACAACAATATAAATAAAAAATAATTAAAAAACTTTGAAAATTTTGAAAAAATGAAAAATGAAAAACAAATCCTGATCTGATGATCAAAAATCACCTTAGGCCCGGCTGGCCCACCTCTCCAGAGAGGGGTTTTGGTGGTCCCACAATCGGCGCAGGTTTTCTTTTGGCTCTCCTCTGATGATGAACTCCCATTTGAGTTTTTCCCGGTGATGTTGTCATCTAACGGCTCTGATCGCTGCATCAGAAATCAAAAACAAAAACGATCAGATCAGTGATTCAAAATCAAACGGAACAGAGAGAATAGAGATTGAGATTTCAGCTATGGGTTTGATCACTCACTTTGTCACTCTGATCCAACATTTTGTATCGGTTATTTCGAAGATCTGAGCTGGACCCAGTTGAGAGGAGGTCCAAAACTGAACTGGGTATCGGCGATTTGATCGAAAGGAAAGAGTCGAGAAACAGGGGAAGAGAGAGAAAGAGGAGAAAGAAAGAGATCAAGATCAAAACAGAGCAATCAGGGAAGTTGTGAATGAGATTGAAATAGATCCATTTGATTTCTGGCGAGAGAGAAACATTTGGTGGGAAAGAAAGAGATCGGACTCGAGATAGAGAAGAGAGGGATCACTGATCACTAATCACCAGTGATGAGAGAGAAACAGAGGAGATATATATATATATAGAGAGAGAGAGAGAGAGAGAGAGAGAGAGGAGAGAGAGAGAGAGATTTGAAATGGAGAGTATCGAAATATTGTTGCTAGAGAGAAGAAAGCTTATTAAACCGACATGCAGGAAGAGAAGAAGAGGAGAGAGTGAGCCAACTGTGCGTGCGCGGCAGAGAAAAAAACAGGGTAGAGGTTAGTGAGAGAGAAGAGGAGAGAGAAGAGAAAGAAAGAGGAAAATGAGGAATCCAAACCGACATACACACACTAACCAGCCGCAGCAGATCTAAAAGTGCCCTCTCTCTCCCCATCTTATATAAATGGGTATACGAAACCCTAGCCCTCCCTGATATCATACAAAATGACGAAAATGCCCTTACTCTAGAGAGAGAAGGGATTTTGGGGTGCCAACACAAACCCCGCCAAAAAGGGGGTGTTTTGGGGCTGAAATGAACAAAAAGGGCGCCATAGTTTGGTGGGTTTCCATGCCTTTTTGTGAATTTATTTTTTGGAGTTTTTTAAATTTTTGGGGATTATGTAATTATTGGTTTTATTATAAGGAATTTCTCTAATAAAATCAAAAAAATAAATTATTTATAGTTTTTTATTTTTTAATTGTTAAATTTATAATAAAAATTATTTATTTTATATATATATTTAATTTAATATAATTTTAATTAGATTTAATAGTCATTAAAGAGTCTCATGAATTTTATATGTTATGGCAAAGAAGGCATCCTTTTAATAAGTCATTAGTATTGTACTGAAATTATTGTTTATCAATTTTTAATTAAATGTAATTTTCTTAAAAAAAAAGAGTGGGAAAATGGATTTTGTGGTTATTTAGGCAGGCTAAAGATTTTCGTCCTTAGTTTCCGAGTCAGAGAGATGTTGTATCTGCGCCGTCTAATAGGTCAACGTACCCATTTTGAGGTCTTCAATGTTCTTACATTGGCGGCAAAACTAAAATCATACATTAATCTTCTGTTTCTTTATAAAAATATATGTTGCAAAACTAACGGTGATTTAATAATCTATATTATTAATGCAATCAAACTGTTCCGTAACAATGTCAAATATCAGTAATTTGACTATCATTTAATAATTTTATTTTTATTGCTTGGTAGAATAATGTAATAATTTTATCCAACCTTATACATTTGGTGATGCATTGTGAATGGTAATAAATAACAGTGTTTTATTGTTAAGGGAAGTGACCCTTATATTGCACCTAGTTATACCCCCACATTTTTAATAACTTCGGAATTTTATGGTATCCTGAGGTATCCAAGTGGTAAAATCTATGTTTTTCTTAGGATGGGACCATGGGTGATGGTGCAACTATTAGATATATTTTCTTTTTATTTTAAGGATCAGTTAAGATTTAATATAATATTGTAAAGCCTTATTTTAAGATCTTGTATTCAGACAAAAAAATTGTCTTGATAAGTTTAGAATTGTGTAAGTGAAACTGAGATCATTTTTTTGAGTAAAAATTAGGTTCATTTTCTTTTCGTTTTGTTGATGCCTTTTGAATTTTTACTATAGACGAAGAAGATTAAGGACAGGATGAGAGCAACAATCTTCTTTTTAACTTATCAAAAAAAGAGAAGTGATAAGATCCATGTCTCGTTCATTTAACCGATCTGAGTTTTCAGTTTTAAGTTTCTACAGTAAAAAACTCTCAGAAAATGTCACATTTAACTTTTTCTGCTGCAGTGAAAAGCTCTTAGAAAATGTCACATCTCAGCTTGAATTGAAAACTCGAATTCGCGAAGTGAACGAGGCTCCAATTTCTTTCCCAAGATGTTAGTATGGATTAGCATCTAGCGGGAATGAAAAAAAAAAAAAAAAAAAATCCTTAGAAATGGGAACTAACTATATTATGAAAAACCAATTAAACACTCTTGATATTAAGGAAACTATTTTTTTAATTTCTTTATTTATTGTGAGAAGGACGTTAAGGAAAGTTAAAGACAACAAAATTCATATATTAATCATTGAAATTTATGACCACATGTTGAATAAAATCTAATTACTCAAGCACGAGTAATGTCACTGTTTTTTTACCCTTTTTGAGTTAGATGATTTGAGTGTAGATTTTGAGTTGAGTTTGAGATAAGAATCTTTTTGAGTTTGTGTTTGAGTGAGTCAAAACTTAAATTTATATTTAGATAATATTTTAGTAAAAACTCAATGCTGATGAAAAATTTTAATATGGTATATGGGTGGGGTTTTATTCGTCTTTTCGTTGTCAACGCATAGAAAAAAAATCATCTCAATCAGAATTAAAACGAAAAAGTTATAGCATTTTTAAGAATAGAAAAAATACTGTTCATTAATTTGAGTTCGAGTTTTTGAACTCGAGTTGAAGGGGAAACTTGAACTCGAGTTCAAACTTAAAAGAACATGAACTTGAATAAAGTTGTAACTCGAGTTATTTTTTTTTTTTTAATTTTAACTCAAGTAAGGGGCTGCCAAACAGCCCCTCAATCTCTGTTTACATGTGAATAACATATGTAAACCTCTTCGTCTACTGGGGTTTGGGGGGAGAGTTACGGATTTAATCATGTTGTATAAAAAAATAAAAATAAATATGTATGCATTCATAAAACGTGCATAAAGAAAATGTGGCCGTGGTGTGGTACTATGACTGTAAAGGATCTACAAAATACGCATAATATTTGTGTACTAAAAAATGTTCCTTTGTTGACTTGTTTGGGGTTTTGAGCTGCCAAATCCAAGTTAATGGCCGCCAAGTTACAGTTGAGATAAGAAGAAAAGAAAAATAAAAAAATAAAAAAAAACTCAATAATTTACTACTACGATGGAATTGGAATTGAATAGGACCGGTAATATGGGTCACGACACGACGACACGACTCAAAAATGACACGAATTTTGTGGGTTAGGGTTGAGAAAAAAGAGGTTCGGGTCAGAATTGAGTCGACCTGAAATTGACACGAAAAATACGGGTCAATTTCGGGTTAGACCCGCCTAACCCGAACCTGACACGAGACTCGTAACAAACTACAAAATATATATATTTTTCATTTCATATTTTAAATTTTATTATGAACTTGTGATATCATGATAGTTATACTCAAAATCTTATACTATTATTTGCTTAATTTCAATGGATGTTATTGTAATTTAGTGTGTTATGAATTTTAAGTTATTTCTAATATGTAAAGAACTAAATAAAAGTATACAATTTTTGTGTCAATTTCGGGTTCACGGGTCAATTTCGTGTCACATGTCATTTTCGGGTCGTGTCGTGTCAGCTTGTAAAGTGGTCGTGTCGTGTTCGTGTTGCGATTTTTAAAAAATTTTGTGTCACGAGTCGTGTTCGGGTTGACTGTAAATTTTAAAAAAATGATCAAAACACGACACGTGATACGAATTGCCACCCTTAGAATTGAATAGACAAAAAGGCAACAGTTCAAAGAGGAAGAGGAAAAAAAAAAAAAACTGTATAACGAACGAGTGAAGATTTTAACGCACCCGTGATGTCAAAGAAACGCCTCAAAAGGATGTCAACTTTAGTATGTTTTTGCTGGCAGCAAATCCAAACCAAACATTATTACCAAATAAATATATGAAGACATTATTACCATATATTAAAAAGTGATTTTTTTTAGAGTTGATTTACTGTTAAAATTCAATGTAAAATATTATATTATCCCTTTTTGTTTAGCATTTTTCATTATTGTTTTAGTTGATCTAATATATCGAAGGACCGTTTTGATTAAAGAGAAAACGACTATTATAAAAAAGATAATTTTTGCACCTTTTTCAACAAAATTTCGCATTGTAAAAGAGTGAATTAAAAATATAGACTTTATATGCTACGCCAACATACTGGTATGTCAATTTTTTATCCGTTAGATATGCATAAAATCACGTAAAAATTAAAAGTACGCATATTCAACGGTTAAAAAAATCTAACCAATCAGTACGCCAGACGTGCTAAAAAATCTCCCTTAAAAATAAGAAAAAAGCTACATTGTTTAATTATTTTGAAAAGAACCTGTATTATTTTTAAGAAAGAATTGTTGTTAAACGGATATTAATTTTAAGAAGCAGTTAAGGGATGTTTGGTATGCAGTAAAGTTGAGCATGATGGTGTAAGAATTATGATTTTTAGATTTTCAAGAATGTCAATCCCATAAGATTCAAAAAAATCAGGGAAAAAATCAAAATTGTTAAAATGATAATTACATGTTTAATAAAATTTAATATTGAAAAATGTTGAAAATTTTATTTTATTAAATGAATCTTAATTAGATTACATTACATTACTACGCACATCCACATATAATAAAATGATATTTTTGAGAATCTATTAAGAAATTTCTAAGTGTAACCAAATGTATGTTTCTTGAGAGTTATATTATCTTGTATTAATTTTTAGAATATAATTCCTACTTATTACCACATACTAAATACCACTTAGAGAATGATGATCTTTATCAATTATGACTCTAATTATTTGGACAAATGTATTATTTTCCATTTATTATTATACATATGGAAAAGAGGAACACAGGAAGCGTGTTAGCTGTGCATATCCAAATCCGAAAGAGAGGAAAAAAAGGCAGAATCTAGAACTGTATATATGGGTACGACCAACAAAGATATATGTAGTGAGTGGCATTGGATTAACCAAGTAGCTCTCTCAAAATCACAAACCTTAGAGGAAAAAAAAAGGGATTAGATTTTATCGTGATCACTCATCTAATTAGCACACTAATCACACAAATCCCATCTCTTTTGCTCGGATAAGCAGACAAAATTACCAAGTGGGACAATATGCATTTTCAAGGATAAGACATATTTGAACTTGGAAGTGTTTTTTTCTTTAAAAAAAAAATGGGAGAAATAGGAAAATATGCCAAGACTTGAGATGAATTAAAATTAATAGGTCAATAGTTTACATAAGTTAATAAATATGCCAAATTACTGTTTTCGTATATAACTTATCTGGTTATAAACTATAACTTGACAAGTTATTCACGGTTTTTGTCCATAACTTGTCTGGCTATGAACTATAACTTGACAAGTTTGTCCATAACTTATCGGTTATGAACCATAACTTGATAAGTTATAGCCTATTAATTTTTATAACTAAAAATTAGCCTATATGCTTTCTTAAACTTTTCATATTAGCTTATTTTTTACAATTTTTGAAAAAAAATTTACAGGAATTAACATAAAGGCGTGATCAAGAGTTATTCATATGGTGCAAAGGACAAGTTGAAAATATGGGAATGAAAGGGAATGTATGAGCCTCAGGCTCAGTGTGTGTGCATGTTTTTTTTTTTTTTTTTTTTACTTATATATATATATATATAAATATTGATAGACAACAAAAATTTAAAACAAGAGACAAATTTGCCACATATAATGTGATGGTGAAGGAAAATGAAAGCTCACGAGGCCCCTTTTGTTTGGGACAGACCAAGATTAAGGACCACATCTATATAATCTTATTTAAAATATAATTAAAAAAAACACACACACACACAAAAGAATTCTTAGTATTTACCAAGTTACAAAAGAAAAAATTACCTTATTAGTATTGAACAGCTTTTTACCGTTTTTATTTAGTGCTCTAACATGATTTTGATGTGATATATAGGCCGTGTTTGAAATTGATCCCGTTTTTATTTTTCACGTTTTTTGAGAAAAAAAATAAAAACATTTTTAAAATGACGTTTGGTGCAATAAAAATAAAAAATAAAAATAAAAATAATTTTTTAATTTAGTATAAAATGAGAGAGAAATAAAAAACAACTTTTAGTTGTTTTTTATTTTTTGTTTTCATTTTCTCATCTCTCGAGTATAGAGAGAAAGAAAGACATTAATGAGTTTTTTACACTGAAAATAATCTCTTGATAAAACTACCAAATGCATTTTAAAAAATGATTTTCTGTCTGAGATTGAAAACGTTTTCATTTTCATACAAAAAATAAAATTATTTTAGAACGAGTTCTAAATAGGGCTGGCAATCCGGGTAGCGACACGACTCAAAACCCGCACAAAATTAGCTGGTTTGGGTTTATCATAAATAGGTCCGGGTCAAAATCAGGTCGAACTCGTGAAACACGATTAAATAACGTGTCATTTTCAGGTTGACCCGTCAACCCGTAATTGACCCGTCATAACCCGTTTATTAAACGTGTCATATTTCGGTAACACTTATTCGTGCAATTAAAGGGTTCAACACGACACGAACACGACCCGTCAACACGAATTGTCATCCCTAATTCTAAATGCGCCCATAACGTTTGATGAACATAAGTACCGTCATAAAATCCTCATCATAGAAATTCCTCATTTGCTATTCTTAAATAGAAGGGAAAAAAAAAGGAAAAGAAAGAACGGAAGAAGGAGAACGAGTCTAGCTGGTCTGATTCTGAAGAAGAAATGCTGTTCTGCTTTATTTACAATGATGGTAACATCATTATTATAAGTGGTCTCCATATGATGTATGAATACTGATTCACTTATCATTATAAAAAAAAAAAAAAAAAAAGCCACATAATCTTCTATTTTCTTCACTATTTTTATTTATCTAATGAAAGATAAAATTCACGGACAAGTTTGAAAATCGAGCCAGGGTCTCTTTCTATATATCTCCTCAACCAAAAAGTTGGTTTTGGCATGCACTAAAATAGGTATATTTTTGAACCTTTTCTTGTGTAACAAAATCATTTCAAAGATCGTTTTTGCTTTGACTAAGAGTGTCCAAAAATCGTTTTCCTACTCTGGGTTTTCTGCCTGGTGTGCAAGTGTAAACCCTATTTTTGTTAAAACCAATAACTTTTGTTTTTTGTTTTTTTTTTAAATTCCTCGGTTGGTAGTCCAAAAAAATATTTTAATTTGTTTATTTTATTAATTTTTCTTATTTCAAGATGCCATAACAGCAAAAGTTCTGTCGTAGTGTAGTTTTCTAGAGAGTTCCCATTACCTAATTTCCTACCATGAGAAAGCGCAAGAAAGGAACAAAACACTAGAAACACAAACTAGACATTTGCCTAATAGAAGTTTAATATTTAAAATTGCTGGACGCGTTTGAAACTCGTTCTAAAATAATTTTATTTTTTGTATAAAAATAAAAATGAAAACGTTTTTAATCTCAGACATAAATCATTTTTAAAAATATGTTTGCTAATTTTATTAAGTGATTATTTTCAGTATAAAAAAACCTATTAATGTCTCTCTCTATTCGAGAGATGAGAAAACGAAAACAAAAAATGTTATATTACATTTTACACTAAACTAAAAAATCATTTTCATTCCCGTCTTTTGTCTTTATTGCACAAAACGTCATTTTAAAAATGTTTTCATTTTTTTTTTCTCGAAAAACATGAAAAATAAAAACGGAATTAATTCTAAACACAACCATAACTTTTCTTTTTTCTCTTTCATGAGCACCAATCAACATCTATTTTCAGGTTTCAATAGAATTTTTTGGCTAATGCCTATTGGTATTTTTACAAATAGTATGACATTCTGACTTAATTTAAATTTTTTTTTTTTTTTTTTTTAATTTGCTGTGAAAATAGACAGCAGAAGGAAGGATAATAAATACATGTACTTTGCACTAAAGATGCTTCCAATTTTGTAAAAAATTTTTGAAAGATAAGAATCTCTGCGATGGTGAAGATCTTCCACCTGAGTTGATTCAAAATACCACATTGCATAATAGTATATCATGTGTGTATGTGTGTTTTATTTATTTATTTATTTTTTTCACATAATGGGATATAATGAATAATAAAACACCAACCAGAGCTTGTGAGCTACAGATCTCAGGTCATTTTGGAACTTATCCAGTTTCCAACAACCAGAACATCTGAGGACCCAATAACCAATTTTTTTTAGGCCACAACCACTTTCTACATGATTTTGGATGCTTCAAAGAAACTCATGAGGAGGCCCCAGAGAGAGGAGAGAGAGAGAGGGTCCATTAAAACAAACATATAATTCATCTGTTCAGGACAACAGATACAACAGATTCATGTGTGGTAAATGGATTTTTCTTTTCCTGTGCAGAAAGAAAAAAAGGGTTTTTTAATTAATTATTATCACCATTATTTGCCATGGTTTCTCCGTAAAAAAAATAAAAAAGAGAGAAAATCCATGGCTTTGTCCAATTTCCATGTTTTTGGCAACTTGCAATCTATGCTGCCAAAGATGTAATATATATATATATATATATATATATAGAGACACACACACACACACACACATGTATGTATATATATACCAAAAGTCATAAAAACAGTGAAGAGCACTACACCTCCCATTACTTATAAATTTTAGATTTTAAACTAGAACTTGGAAAATATTACAGTAACCAAATCAAAAGGCCAAGCGTGACGAGATTGTTTTTTGATGAATCCATGGAACTATGATTCATGATATGCGAACTAACAACTAATAAGATTTTTCTTCAAATATCAACTCAAAAGTTGCCTATTTGCTCAAGAGACGAATAGTAAACCCATAACCTTTTCATCACAAGTAAACAACCCAGATGGAAAACAAGTATTTAAGGTATCTTTAGAATCAAAGATATAACTACAATAATCACAAGGAATTTTATAGTTTTTAAAACCAAAACCCCACTAATTCCTTCACTTGAAATACAAGGAAAGCGACTTTCTATAAAATACTATACTCACTCAACAAGGCAAAACAAATCCCGACTCTTGTAGAAATTACAAGTACAAACTAAGACTCTGAAAAAAGAAAAAGAAAAAGAAGAAAGATCTATTGCCGCATTCAAGAAGCCTCCACTAGCAAACCCCATTAATAGTGGGAGGGCCCTGCTTATGCAACAATAGGACTTAAGACGCTTCCATATTCCATTTGGTACTATTGCAGTGATAACGAACACTGCAAAACCAGACGTCATGCCACAACTGAACCCACCAATCCCAAGTTAAATTGGTCATAGTAGCATAACTAACCCACCTTGGCACCTCTTTGACCACATATAGACACTGGACACACTGGAAACCGACATAGTGAGATGCCATGACCCGACCTGACCTGACCCGACCCGACCCACCCGACCCCAACATCACCCCCCATCATTATGCAACTTCAGCTCCATCTGATACTGAATATCTGCAAGTTTTCGATACCCAAAACAGGAAATAGTTAGGGAAACTCGTTAGATGCAAGGACATTGCTATATCTGGCTGACCCTTTTCTGGAGAGGATAGTAGTTTTGTCATTTTATTTCGTGGGTTAAAGTTGGACTAACTTTAGCTTACTTACCTTCAGCTAAAGTTGAATCCACCAGACGGAACAGGGAGATCATTCCCTCCAAAGCGAAAGCCTGACTGAGAACCATCGCCGGGAGGTAATGTCTCATCGTCCTCCTCCAGCCAATATGTTTCAAGAATTTTAACTGTCTTCTCATAGATCTCATTGTTGTCATGACTCTGTAAATTTTCGATCTTCTCTAGACCCTCAGCATCATCAATCATCTGGGCATATAAGTTGACATCTCCACTATTACCTAGATTCTTCTCTGCTTCCCCAACCTTCAAGATGTTTTCCAACCCTTCTAAACAGACGGTGACTATTCTTGGATCCGGACAGAGAAGAAGATCACACAATGGTTTTATACACTGCTGACTAACCAAATACCTAACACCCATAAAAGAACCGGTCAGTCATTGTACCACAATAAAGATTAATCCAGAGAGAGAGAGAGAGAGAGAGATTACACACTTAATTTGCTCGTTAGTGCCACCAGAAGTAGCATTTGAAATTGCCCAAGCAGCCTCTTTCTTTATATCAAACTCAGCGTTTTGAAGCAGATTGACGAGAGGGCCAATCAAACCAGCTTCAATAACAGCCTAGAGCATTTGGCCATATGCAATTAGCACGATAATGATAAATAATCAACAGCAAGATTAGAAAATGATGTGAATCAATAGAACACCAAGTTTAGCACTATTACCTGTATCTGCTCTCTGTTTCCGGCAGTAATGTTTGAGATGGTCCAGCAAGCTTCCTTCTTAATACTCTTCTTATGATTATGGGTCAACAAGCTCAGCAGACAAGGGAGTGCACCACTGTTAATTATACACTGAAAAAAGGGGGGTTTACACCCATCAAATTCATATACAAAATTTAATTCATGCAAACACTTCGAAAACAAAGGGAAAAACTGATAAAGTTAATACCTGGGTCTGAAGGTCATCGCCTGTCACAATGTTTCCAACTGTGCGAAGGGCAGGAATAAGCACTGACGGTGATGGATGTCTGAAGTAACACATGCAATTTATCAACTGTCAAGTTTATGTTAAATTTTTTTTTTTTTTTGGAATAACTGCACAAGAAATCAAACACTCACAGGAGGAGCTGCACAAGTCGACCACTGACACCTGCCTCGATCACAGCTTGAATTTTGTCATTTGCACCATCCGACAAATATGATAGTGCCCAGCAGGCATCTGTCAAGACTTCCTCGTCATTTGAATGAACTAGACGCTCCAGAGCTGGAAGTGCTGGTCTTACCTGTCAAACAAACTCCGAGTTAAAACACGCAAACACATCCATAAAAGACGTTTGATAGAAGCCAGAGCAGGTCAAAGAACAAGACAACAACCTGTTCAAATTGAGGCTGTGGTTTGCCTCTGCAAAAGTTGGACAGTGTCCATGTTGCATTTCTCAGCATCGAGAGCTTTGCATGTTCATTCAGCTGTGCCAGCAATGGAATCAAAGCTCCATGGCCAAGTACGAGATCACGACACCTAGGGGAGTCACCAGCAACATTTCCCAGTGCCCACACAGCCTACAATTCCATAATCAAGACAGATACGAATAAAGGGAAAAAAAAAAAAAAACACTTGATTTCCACTTTGGAAGTTTCTCTGAGAAACTCCAGCTTTTTAAACACATAAATCAGTTGGTTCTAATTTATACCTGTTCACGGACATCGTCGCTCGGAGAACCAAGTAGCTTTACAAAAATTGGAACTGCTCCATGATCAATAACCACCTTTGTGTTCTCTGAGGTTCCAGAAGCTATGTTTGTGAGGGCCCAGGCAGCCTCAAACTACATCAACAGAACACAAAGAAGACGAACAAATTAAAAACTCGCGCATGAGCACACACAAAAAACAAAAAAGACTAACAATAAGCATCAGACAATGAAAAAGGGGCTATAATTCAAACCTGAAGTTGGTGGAAATCTTCTCTGACAAGAAACTCAACAAAGCGAGGAACAACCCCAGATTGAATCACCTCTTCAATTGGAGGGCTTCTTTCTGCAATCAACAATTGTAGTTATTTTTTGTAAATATAAGCAAAAAAATCTACCATTTCACCGTCATAGTATTAAACCTCAAACTAGACAGCCTAAATAAATAAGATCGTTTGAGCAAATATATAAATAAAAAAGATTCGTCAGAAAAATACCAATTGAAAGCAGTTTCCGAAACTGTGTAGTTGCCTCCAGTTGCAAACTAGTATTATCGGACCAAACTCCAGCCACCATCTGAGGAAGACTCTCCAACTACAAACAAAATCAAACCACCATAAACAATAAAAAAAAAAAAAGCACACTTTTCGCCACTAAAAGTAAATGTGTTCAGATTATACAACCACTTCCAAGAAACGCCCAAATTGTTTCATCCCAATCCGATCTAGCAAAAAACTAATGAAACCCTCAATGTGTTCGAATTACGCATAGAAAATCACGATCAAACAATAATCACACTCAGAATCAAAAGAAAAATGAAGTAAAATTCAAAAAAGCAGAAACCTTTTTCTCGAGATTGGAAGGGTGAGGCGCGGGAGTGAATTGCTGGGCTTGGAGACCCTCACGACGCTTCTTCTGCAAGCTTTCCTCGCGCTTGCTCTTGCGGATCTCGACCATGTTATCCTCTCTCCTCCGCCGCCCCTCGTCGGCGTCCACCGCCACCTTGTACCTGTTCCGGCGGACCTCCGTCCTCGCGTTTGGCCTCAGCGACATGATTGGGTTTAGGTTTTGCTCTCAAGCTCGATTCTACTCCACCGAAAACCCTAACCGGAAAGTGTTCGTCAGATTGGCGATCGATCGGACAGAAACTAGACAGAAATCGAACCAAATTGAGGCGATTGAATTCGAATATGTGTGAGAAGTGAGAGCCAAACCTTGGATTTTAGAGAGAGAGAGAGACTGCGAGATTGTAAATAGGGTTTTGATTTTGATTTTTTGAAGATGTTCTTATAATAACGGGCTCTTAGGTTTTTGCTTTGTTTTTTTTTTTAATTTAAATTAATTTTCTTGATTAAGAATTTTGTCCTATAAAAAATATTTTTTTGAAAGGAAAAATATTTCGTGAACGTTTGGTTCATAGATTTAGAATTATAATTTAAAATTATTCTTGATTTACGTATGTTTTTTATGAGAGAAAATACTGTAGCGAACCACGAATCATAGGGCCCGTTTGTTTCCATTTTCATTTTCGTTTTTCACGTTTCTCGAGAAAGAAAAATGAAAACGGGAAATGAAAATGTGTTTGGGAAAAATTTGAAACAAAATAAAAAACAAAAACGTTTTTGTCTTTTCTGAAAAAGTGAAAATGAAAAAAACTTGTTTTCATTTTCACGTTTTCAGTTCTGAAAACAGATCTTTTTTTTTCTTCTCTCTCTTCTCCACCCCACCCGCCCCCCCGCGACTGCGCCTCCCCC